GATGTTCAGTTCGTAGCGCCCATCAATTGACGTCTCTAACTGACAAACACTTTGATGTCAAGACAAGACAAAGTAGGGTCTGTGGATGGGAAGGCAGGGAAAGGGCACGGGTATGGGCGTTGGCAACAAGTTTGCTGCACTCTCCAAACTGCCAAGTCGGCGGTTTTTTGTCAACACAGCCGTTGCTATAAGTTATTACTTTTTTAATAAATATATTTAATTTTTTTTTTTTTTTTTTTGGTTATACATAGTTGCTGCGTCAAAACAAAATTGGAAGCGCAACAACAAAAGAGTGGCAGGAAAAAACAATTGATTAGCAGTTTTAATGGCGTCACTGAACTGGTAGCCGTAAATTTGCAAAAAAAAAAAAAAAAGAGGAAGAGTAGTAAAAACATTATATACTGACTATACATATACATATATACACACCGAGTAGCTCTAAAAACTGAATGGAACAGCAAAATTTGCAAAATGAACCTTCAAAGTCGAGGGAGAGAACAAATAATAATAATTATTATTCTGATAAGAAGCAAATCCTTAACGAAATTGCTTAATCGAACAGCTCTTTAATTATGTCATAGCGCACATATGCCCATGTATTGGGCATTGGGTATTACCTTCGGACTGTGGTAGTCCAAAATATTGGTATTTAGCCCACATTTTATACGTAGAATTGCTGCGAAAAAAAAAAAAATAAAAAAATGATCAATTCATATACGAGTGTACATACGTATCTGTAGTTATATTGGTTTATAGAATACAATCTCTTTAAATTATTATGATGATTGACTTTCTTATCAGATTCGTACGCCACTCGTTGTGACAATTTATTTTTAGGCATGAGCTATGCCTCCGATTTTGAATGCGAATGGAAATGAATCGTTGGTCAGCGTCCGCGTCATCATCGACATCGTCGTGTGTGTGTCGTGCTTCGTGCTTCGTGAGTCGTGCGTTGATTATGGGGTGGGTTGGGGTGGCGCTGTCGTCGCGCTCATCGGTCGTCTCTCAGCTATATACCCTATACACACATGTATACTACAAAGCTATTTGTCGGACATTGAACGTCGTTTGCGGCGTCGATAATAAAAATGGGATCAATAAATTTTCAGACTGTTTGGCGCCACTCTGCATCGAGTGCTTCAACATGCAATTCCTCCTCCTCCTCCTCTTGTTGTTGTTGTGGTAATACTTGAGAGCCCCTTTGTTGTTGTTGTTGTTGTTGCAATAATGGCATACGTGTAAATGGTCACATTTACCCCACAAATACAAATAGGGTCGTTGCTTGTCGTTCAGCCATCGATTCCATTGAAAATTGTTTGTTCAAATTATTGGACAGCGCTCCTACAAAACTCAGATCGTATTCATATTTTTGATTCAATTGATCATACAAGTAGTTGTATGCATACAACTGAATTGGTTGACGAAACTGGCGAGTCAGGAATGCTCGACATCGAAATACTAACGCAAAATATCCCTAATATTATGATAAACAACCTTAATAGGTTTTTTGTAAATAACTCTTTATGGGAAAGCATGTAAGTCTTTACGTAATTTAAGTTAAGTCGAGTCGAGTCAGGAATGGTCGAAATCGAAATACTAACGCAAAAGATTCCTAATACTATGATAAACAACCTTAATATATTTTGTGTACATAACTCTTTATGGGAAAGCATGTAAGTCTTTACGTAATTTAATTTAATTTAAGTTTCATTGAAATATTTTTAGAAGTGAAATTTATATTTAAATTTTTATTTCAAATCACTTCATTACTCATATCATACTCAAAATATCCAATGTATAGAAATATGTTTTACTTTCCATTTAAAGATCTTATCCAATATCAATATAATTCCAAGTCTGAACATATTTTAGATTAAAATCCAGTTTTATTTTGCATTCAACATTCTAACAAAGTCAATAAACATATTGCTAATTAGGATTGAACTAATTTCTAGATTTAAAAAAGATATTGCTCAATGGTGTTCACTAATCAGATGCTATAACTGGGAAACATTTTATGTAGCCCTTTCTCTTTCTGGCTTACTTCTTCTTGATAGCTCTTTTTTTTTTTAAATTGTTTAGATCGATAATGTCTCTTACAACATATGGCTGTAAATCGGGACATAATAGACATTATTGTATAGCTTTTTTGGAGGCATTCAAATTTTCTTAAGTTTAAATTATAGCTTAATATCAGAAATCCATACCGACAACACTATTTGTTGATCTATTAAATAAATATATCTCTTATATTTTTCAATAGACATATAACGCTAAAAATTTATTGATTTATTGACTAGGCATTGAAGAGAACTAAATGAAATATTCAGATAATACTCAAAATATTCATAGTATTTTCATAATTTTCCATAATCAACAATATTCAACATCATATTCTGTGAAGAAGCAGAAAGTTGGTCCAAAGTTGTGTGTGAATTTGTTGACAATAAATCGCAATCACTAACCATATTTGTCTGATTTCCTTTTCGGAGAGCGCTATAAGATGGGGAAGCTATTGAAAACGCTTGTACCATCCATTCTGAAGGATAAATGTTAAAATATGTACTCGTTTATCCATTTAACAAAATGAGCCCATTTTTTCCAAAAATAAGAATTCTGTGCTCCTATTTTGAAAAAGTTCTGTTGATGATGATTTTATTGTTAAGTTATGTTAGAAAAAGAAGTTATTAAAAATTCATAAAAAGACCAATTCAATAAATTTTTAGATCGAATTCAATCTTTGATTACTTCAATCTTTAATTACTAGGTATTTCTTTAAACTTATTTTACGGCAACATTTGAAAATAGTTTTTTTATTAGAAAAATACTTCAATTTCTTTTAATTTCCACTGTGTGTGGCTATTGTCTTTATATACGTTTACTATACCTTTATACCTTGAAATTTATTTTCTGCTTTTGACCATTTCTGACCATAAAATAAAAATCTTGGACGTCAGCTCTTGGTTAGCGCCATGCTTGGTCATTAAACTCGTGACTTGGGAACGATAGTGCTGTGTGCCAGCGATATTGCTTGTACTAGTACCTACAAGTATGAGCCAATGAGTAACCCCCCTTTTGTGGGCCACCCTATCAGCTGCTATATGCGAGTATGTGTGTGCTTGTATTAAATCCGATCGAATCAAATGGAATTGTCGTATCGTACATTTAATACGTATGCGTCCTACTTGAACTCGACTCGTTGCACAAATCTTATCTGACAGTCACCCGATTCACCCTGTGTGTTGCTTGTCGTTTGTGGCTTGTAGTGGATAGGTATGTAATCAATCACTATCAGATTGTGTTATATTTAATATATATCTGTGTGTGCGTGTGTGTGAAGCTAACCCATAAAAACGCGCACCACTACTCTACTCTAGCCTGTATATGCTGGGCCCAATTAAACATTTGTGCACGCCACTTCGACAATCTATAATTACAATTCGCAAGCTATAATTATAAATGACGAAATTCTCACCACATGATATCGCCAAAATAAATAGCAATCACGAGAAGAGAAATTAAATGAAAAGACCATTATAATAATAATTCAATAGTCAACACACAGTTTAGATTTGTCAAAGCATAGTACACCTATTTATGGGTGAATTGAGAAGGAAGCCTCCCATTATATCCATTCATATATCAGTTTTTCGCTACAAAAACCAATCTGGCTAATATTATACAAGTATACGAGTATATCGTTCACATCACCGCACTTGTCGGCACTTTCCAAAGCGAAAATAAAATGGCATGATTAATTAACTTATTATGAAACAAGTGAATACATTATTTAAGTGCTTATTTAACCATGTCATTCAACAATTCAATGCACGATACTGATATCGAAAATTAGAAACGATTTGTTAAAACATCATAGTAATTCACAAAATTGTTGGCCACTCACGAAGGCAACACCCTACTTATATACTATACAAAGCAGAGTGTCCTGATAATCAAAACACAGCCCAACTGATGGGTCCTTTTCCTATATGGTTAGCGATGTTAAGAAATTCGAGCCCCAAAAGGGTGAAAAGAGAATTAAAATTTGGCGCTTGTGCAGTTTTCACCCAAATAAGTTGAAACTTGGTTTGCGGGCTCGAACAATGAGAACAAGAAAAAAATTCTTTGCCGTTTTTGTGAGGTCTGATTCAAAAAAGAAAAAGCCTTTCATGGCATAAGTGAGCTTTAAAAAGTAGTTTTTGTAAATTTCAAACTTGAAAGTTGGGAAAAGGGCTCGAAAGTTAGTATGTGTTTTTTTCATCCAATTTTGTACTCTAAGAACGATTACAAAACCAACACCATTCAATATTTTATGGAAATGCCAGTAATCATCAAAGCACTGTCGAAATGCTTACAGCTAGGAAGCTAATATTTGGACGCAAGTCCTTTCCTTTCGTGGTGTCAAGAAGTAGTTTTAAAAACTTTGTACTCCAAAAGGGATAAAGGGCTTCAAAAATTAGACGCGATTCCTTTCCTTTCATGGTGTAAGTGCGTACTAAGAAGTGGCTTCAAAAACTTTGTACTCCAAAAGGGATAAAAAGGGTTCAAAAATTTGTTTTTAATGCCGTAAGTGAGCGCAGAGGAGCATTTGAACCTGAAAGGTGGGGAAAAATTGGTGATGCATTTAAAACTTGGCTTATGCCATATAGTATGTATATAGGTGGAACCATATATAAATATAATTTTAATAAACCTGTTCACCGTGGAGGAGCCGATTGGAAGGCATACAAGTAGATACAGTGACAGGCTTCTGAGTCACCGCAGTTTGCTTGCAAGAGGACTCCTGTTTTTTCAAAACACTTAGATAACCATAAGCCACCACTAACTTATTAATCCGCGCGCGGAAGTGCTCGAAGTTGGGCTATTTTATATTTGTAAAAATGTATTGTTAAGGTGCTAATCTGAATGCACGGCTTCAATGTTTGATTAAACAGGAAAAAAAAAATATATATATATATACAAGTATATAAAATCTCATTTCTACATTTGTTCCCTTTCAGTGGGAATTCGAACCCATGGGATTGATCTGCACGAAGAAACGCAACTCCAATGGATGTCCGAGCATATGAGCTATCCGGACAATTTTCTGCATTTATCGATTGAATATAAGAATGTGTAATTGCAAGAAGGTGACCGAGTGGCCAGTGACCGATTTACTACATGTAATTATTATTATAAATATTGTATTTTTTTTAATGCATGTAAAATAATATACCACATAAGTTTGTGCAATATAGCTCGATCTAGCATTTAAACTTGGTTCTACAAACGACGCGTACGACCTAAGCGACGAGTTCAAAAGTCTTGGATCCTATATTGTAGACGAGCCATATTTATACCTAAATACCATTGCAGCTAGAAAATACCAAGTATAAGATTTGCTTAACATTTCATCGATCAAGTTAACGTATTTGTGAAAGCATTATTATTATACGACAGCCGGCAACCCGGCGAGCTATTTAAAGCGCCAGGCACCCCCATGCTCAGCCCATGCCATACCCGTACCCATACCTACTTGTATACCCATACTTATACCCATACCTATGCCCATACTTATACCCATGCTTATCAATATTTTTATGTATCATGCATTCTGGAAGTGGGTTGATTGGGCCCCGTGCGATTCGTGTCCGTTGTCAAGATAATGCAACCTTACACAATAATTCGTGTTGTGAAATTTGGATTGCTCCTTTTGTACGATATACGTATATATAGCATATATACATATGTATATATAATAAGATAATCGATTATCATAATGGCCACAGGGCGAAAGACTAGCCCACAATATATCTATACATGCATATACAGATAGTATATATACATAGAGGGACAAAGAAACATTTCAGCGCTCGCTGAAAATAGAAACGGGAAGTCAATCGCCGCCATTTGATCATGATTAATTTGTTTACTTAACTAGCACTAAGTGAAATTAAAAATAAACATTAAAAAATCAAATGCAATAAATACATTTTGAACACTGTATGATATTAACTTTCTAAATGATCGATCGAGCGAAAGCTTAAGCCCCTCAACTATCGATCAGATGAATTATCTGCCTCTGATTGACGGGAAAAAAGTTTAAGCTACTTGTATAAACTAACAAAAAGTAAGTAAATATTTTTATTTTTAAATAATTGTTCAATATACTTGATGATCATTGATGCCTCCATCCAGATAAGAATAATTGTGAGAACATTGAGCTGCTTTTATACAAGCACTATACTTATAATGATCAGTGATTGGAGATTATATGTATGTGTGGGTGTGATTAGTGATCGAAGATTAAATGATTTCAAAGGTTGTAGTAATAATTAGATCAGAGTGATCAAAAAAATTCTACGTAGTGCGATCATTGCTCAAAGACTTGCATAAAATAGATGCGATCAGTGATTAAACACTACATCAAATCAAAGATTACGATCACCGATAAAAAATTAGAAAATATAAAACGCAGGTTAGACCAAAATTTGCGAGCAGTGATTGAATTAAATACAAATTGCTGCGATTAGATAAGTGATCAAAGGTTATAGATTACTTTCCTTAAATAATACAAACAGATGGTGAATAATATAACGAGTGCATTTACTAATCGAAAGTACACAAAAAGATGAGATCAGTGATTAAATATGACTCAAATATCAGCGATCACTGAATGAAGATTACCATTGCTTATACATAAATTTACAAATGGTGGGATCGCTGATCGTTGATAAAGCGTAAAGATACGGACAGTGATTAAATTTAAATACAAATAGTTGGATCAGTGTACAAAGGTTGTAATAATAGTGCGATCAGTCACTGCAAATTATAGAAATAAAGTGATCGGTTGCCTTGATATTACAAACAGTGATCACAAAGAAATAGTAAGATCAGTTACACAAAAGAACCCGATCAGTGATTGAATTCAAATAGGTGCGATTAGTGATTACGATCATAAACATTGAATGAAGATTATCAAAACATGTTCAAATACATAGTGGAATCCTAGATAAGGCGAAAAGGTGCGATAAATGTTCAAAGGTGTGCGATCAGTGACTGCAAAAAAAACTTAAAAATAGAGCAATCAGTTACCTCAGATAATGCAAGTGGTCATTGATTATGTAAGTAGTGCGTTCACCGATAAAAGGTTATATAAACAGTGATCGCAGGCTACAAAAAAGGTGCGATCAGTTTATTTAACCATAAATAATGCCGTTATTCAATGCGCTCTGTGATCGACATCCGTTATAGAAATATATGAAATCAATGACCCAAGATTATACAAATGTGAAATGAAAATAATTCAATACTTATTTGCACTGCTTGCGATCAAAATATGTACATAGTCGTCCGTTTCTGAGAATTATGTCTAATGCTATAATATATCGTAAAATGAATCGGAACACTTTTTCAAATAATTATCTACTAAATGGCCCATCGAGAAAGCCATGCATAATATACTATATACACCGACCATACACGAATATACATATATATGTACGTACTTAGTGATCTTGCATCTGCAGCTCGTGAAAAAGCACGAGGTGGTGGTTACTTTGTAATCGCCCGCTCGTGCGATGATGCAAATCAAAAGTGTTACATCAACTGCTGGCAGGCGGAACGACAAAACGGAACGTTACGGCGCTGACAACGAATGCGGGGGGGCGCTACGAAATTTGTCACGTGGAATGAAAAAGTCAAAAAGTACAGAAAACAACAATTGCATGCGGCAGCAAAAGAATCCAATAAAAATAAATGTGTGGCAGCAACGAACGAATTTCACCCACCACCCCTCTCTCCCTTCCTTCCTTCGCAAGCCACAAGCCATACGACTATAGAAAGGTATACTGGCAAAGATCATCTATCGTCTGTTGTACAATACATACATACATACATGTATATATAGGTGTATGTATATTTAAGTAAGCTTGTATGTATGCTGTGAGCATGCACATAGATTTTTATCACCTGAACTAGTTGCACGGGCCTGCAGCCCAACCGGACAGTACCGATTACGCCATAGCCCACCCAGCAACCGAACAACCGGGCAATCGCAACAATCGAGCAACAACCTAGCAACTGCATCGCCCTCACCCTCACGATGAGCCGCTTTGATACCGAGGGTGGCTTTGAATTCACGCCACCGCGCCAATATGGAAATATGAATACTTGTACAAATCAAAACACAAGGTGCATACAGGCATGCAAAAATTCTCCATGGTTGGACATGGGCGGGCGCCACACCACGCTACCGTTGATTGCTCCAAGTTTACATAACTTCTGATTGATTAGTAAATTTACTCTCTTTTTTGGGGAAATACTAATTGTAATCACAATTTTTATAGTGTTTAGTAAATTTAACATCTTTTTTGGGGGAATACTAATTCCAATCACAAATCACTAGCACAAAATCGTCAAAGTACAATAAATTTACACAACTTTTGGTTGGTTTTTCAAAAACTGTTCATAAAGGTTAGTAAATTAAACCTCCTTTTGGGGTTAACACTAACTTAAATCACAACTTTAGTTTCTTTTTCTCAATAGTGTTTAGTAAATTTAACGTCTTTTTGGGGCAAATATCAATTGTAATTACAACTTTTGTTTGTTTTCCCCATAGTGGTTAGTAAATTTTACCTCTTTTTGGGGGAAAATTAATCGCTAAGCGCTAACACAATATTATTTTTTTTATAGTGGTTAGTAAATGTAACCTCTTCCAAACACACAACACTAACACAAAATTGCTCTAAGTATACACAACTTTTGGTTAGTTTTTCAAAAAATGTTCATAGAGTTTAGAAAATTTAACCTCTTTTTGGGGTTAATATTACATTTTTCGGTAAATTTAAAAAATTCCAAAACTTGTTATTATTCTAGACCAAATATCCCAAACAATTATTTGACATTAATTAAGACATGGAATGCAAACTTTTGCAAGGCTAGGCAATGGAATCACACAATGCCAGGCCAAGATCATTAGGTTGCTCTATTATCCCCTTTAAGCTAGTTACTATATTTCAAGTAACAACTAATGGTTGTCTCTATTTTAAGCTAATTCAACAATGTCAACTATATTAGTCTCGGCTTTCTCAGATAAATTGGCCTCGCATTCCAATAAACAGGCCAACCCAACAACAAATATGGCTACACAGTACTGATTTTTCAGACCGGTCGAACCTTTTACGAAATGTTTAATTAAAATTTATTACTTTTTTGTATAGCCTCAATAGTAATTTCACCCTTTTTTGGGGAAAAATAGTTGCAACTTCTTTCATCTTACCACTGAAGACCTCTATAGAAAAATAAGTGTTGTGGATTTGAACTATTGCTAATCATTAGAAAATCGGATCTCTGCATTTGACATCCAGCTTCAGTATTATTATTTTTTTAAACTAGAAATCAATTTATACAGACAAATTTAAAATTATTTTATTATACCAATAAAGACATTATTCCTGCTCGCAATTTAATTCGTTTGTATATTGATTATTAACTTTTTCGAATTAATGTACGATAACTCCTGCATTGTTCAACATTGAATTAATTTGTTTAAAAGATAAGAATTTTGAAAAATTAGCAGATAATTTAAATGGTTTATTTATATTCTTCTTTCTTGTCTGAGAATAATTCTTAGGCTTTACAAATTATTTTAAGAAATTAAAAAAAATTAAAGAAATAATATATTTGATGTGTCAGCATAAAAACCAATTGATAAGTTATAACTAGTCAGTCACCTATTCAAAAATATTCTAGATTATAGAAGTTATATACTAACTGTCTTTGTAATACACGAAAATTGAAAGACTACTTGTAGTTGCAAATCGTACCAAATGTGCTAAATTGTTAACAATAATTTCTTATCGCTGGTATTTCCAGATATATATATTTTCCATAAATCCATTATATAAATACCATATTTTAGGTAATTGTCAGCTGAAACCAAATATTTCAATAAAAAATTTTATACACATTCGAAGGTCATTCAAATCATGAAATTGAAGTGCTGGAATCTGGAGCTCATTAGTGTGCCAGATATGTTTTTAGACTTACTTGTATGACTTGAGTTGGATTTTCCCCCCAAAAGCAGGAGAAGAAGAAGAGGAAAAAACAACTCCAATTTCCACAGATTGCAATTATTATTTTTCGACGTAGGGCATAATGAAAATGTGGCGGCTCGCATGTTCGGTTCGAATGAGAAAATGTCGCGAAAATTCTTTGGCAAGCATAACCAGCAGCCACGACAATAACGCAAAATACATACTATATATATATATGTACATATATAAATATGTATGTAGCTATGTTTTTATATATATATATATATATATATATATATATATATATATATATATATATATATATATATATATATATATATGTACATATATAAATATGTATGTAGCTATGTTTTTATATATATATATATATATATATATATATATATATATATATATATATATATATATATATATATATATATATATATATATATATATACTATATGTATGTATATGTTGTGTAGCACTTGGCGTACTTACGTATGTACCGTCCGCACGTACAACTGCTGGCCACACATACGAGTATACAAACAATTTTTACAATGCAAAACACAATGACTATGCCGCTGCCGCTACCGCTACTGCCACCGCCACCGCCGCCCCTTACCACCCGACCAAGCCCCTACCAACTACTTATCATACCCATCGCCCCACACGCTGTCGTTGCTGTTGCTGTTGCCGCCCTGGCTCTGGCTTCGCCCGTTTCTACGGCTCTGGCTCGTGATTGGCGCACACATTGGCAAACGAGAGCACTTTATTTTTAAACGTTTTAAAAATACGTCCATTATAGAATTTGCGGCTTAGTCATACCATACCCACCATAGTACCGAAACCGAAATCTTTTAGGCGAATTGACCAGCTCGTCAACACCGAACCGAACCGAACAGCCGTGAAGGCGTTTGGCGTTTGGGCGCTGATCGTGGAGGCACACATTAGGCATTAGGGTACGGGATGAGGGGCCCACATATGCCCGACACATGTGTCGTAGGTGATGAACATGAACAGAGAGCATAGATATAGAACTGGTACCTGTATCATCATCATCATCATCATCATCACCATCATCATTATAGTCGTTGTCGTTGTTGTCTTCGTCCACGTCATGCGTTGGCCAAACAGATGACACACGCTCTGGCAGAGACGCACAGTATCATGTCTGGTAAATGCCTGCCTAATACTTTCTAGAATGTAGTGCGTTGCCAAAAAGTTACTATAGATTCTAAATACCGGGAATTGTAAGACTAAGCATGCATTATACTTATAGTATACACGTATAGTATATGTATCTGACTGATCCGTCGAAATGAAACTCACGGCATTTAGAACCAAACTAAGTAGTGATAGGACACTATATGAATGTTTCTAATTATTCAAATATTATCTCTGGATCCACTGAAGATTCTAAATGCCGGGAATTGTAAGAGTAATAATATATACTTATAGTATATATGTATCTTACTGATCCGTCGAAATGAAACTCACGGCATTTAGAACCAAACTAAGTAGTTATAAGACACTATAATAATATTTATATTTATTCAAATATTACCTCTGATTCTACCGAATATTCTAAATACCGGGAATTGTAGGACTAAGCAAGCATTATACGTATAGTATACACGTATAGTAAATGTATCTGACTGATCCGTCGAAATGAAACTCACGGCATTTAGAACCAAACTAAGTAGTGATAGGACACTATAAGAATGTTTCTAATTATTCAAATATTATCTCTGATATTATCTTACTGCTCCGTCAAAATGAACCAAACTAAGTAGTTATAGCACTTTATATATTTATAATTTATATTCTACTGAAGATTCTAAATATCAGAAACTGTAAGAGTTAACATTTCTAAGTGCTCCGTGGGCTTGGAACTAAAACTAGTTGTTGGACTTTCCATCTTAAAAATAAAGCACTTTATAATTGAGTGTTTGCATTATATCTGCTTCTTCTGTAGATTCTATATATTTTAAGACTAAGCATGCATAAACTTATATCTCTGACTGCTCCATGAGACTATAACACAGAACTGAGCTACTTAGTTATAGAGCTTTCATTCTTATTCCAATAAACCACTTAATAATTCTTTATATGGTTGGGTATATTATCTCTGGTTCTCCGCCTTCTTTGTTATCACAGCTATATTAATTCTTAAGAAAACAAACAGTTTTTTCAACACAGTTTCAATTTTTGACATATATTTTCCAATGCATATTCGTTCGAGCGGTATATCCTCACTAAAATCAGTTCTTGGATATTCTGTTTCTTAGCAAACTTTATGAACTACTTTTGATGCAATTCTACCAGAATTTATAGCATATTCTTTTGACATATTTTTTCAAAACTTTTAACTTATTAAGCCAAGGGGGCTATATCCTTACAGGGAGAAGCGTAATTAAATTCTGATCTTTTATTTAGAAAAGCTTGAACTATGATAAGAAAGCCAAATTTCAAAAGTATGATGATATATATTTCCAGACACTGCTCGAGAAAAGATTCTATGATGACGGCTCTAGTGCCATTAACAAACACTAGATCGAGAATTCGATATATTTAAACAAGTTCTTATAGAATTTGGTAATCTTAACTTTCAGAAGAAGTCTGGATATGTGACATAACTATTTTCTGATATTGAGAAACTTTCTCAAAAGTGCGCTCAAAAATAATAGGAGTTTTGTTACATAAATTGAATTTAATAAAAAAAATTTATGAATTCCTCTTGAAAGATACTACTTAAGATCTTTTTTTTTTTTGGTTGCTTGGCAAATTATGTTTGCATGAAAATCCTAAAAAAATAACAACAAATTCCAGTCATATGAGAATATGTCTCCTACGCGTCCTAACTGATCCAAACAATACAGATATTATGAAAATACCTAAAATTAAAACTTTTAGACAAATATGAATAGGACTTGGAAGAAATCGAGCTTACAGAATTGTATATCCTTTGGAAAAAATGAGGAATAAACGCTTGACATCGCACCACAGATTCTCGATTGGATTAAGATCTGAAGAATGTGTAGGCCTTTCTAGAACCTTTCTTCTGTTGATCTAAACACTAAATATGTACATATATATATTCGCTAACTTTCAGGCACATTCAGCAAAATCCTCTGCTCTGTAATAGAAGTCCTTTGGCAAGAAAACAAACACTTCACAATTTTTTAATTTTTTTCTGTTAATATAATCAATTTTTTTTTTATTTTTTCATCAATTTTCATATATAAAAATACTGCTTCTTTTTTTATATATATATATATTTAGAAATTTTTTGTTGCAAATTTTTGCCAAAAAAAAAAAAACTCCATTGTATATAAATATGTTGTATATATGTATGTATATGTATTTGTAAATATATAATATATATTTATATATATCTATAATTCTTTACGCTTCAGTTTTTAACAATTTATTCAATTTTGTTTTTATATCACAAGAATTTTCAATTTCCAAAAAAATAATTACATATTTGATTAGTTATGCTGTTGTTGTTGTTTTTCTCTTTCTTCATTCAATAATGCAATGCGCGGCCTTCAACCCCCTCCCCCGCCCCCACCAACACACAACACTGCGCACAAGAATGCGTTTCTTTGCTCTCGTATTGCATTTTTATGTGTGTGTGTGTGTAAGTTTTGTTGTTGTTGTTTTTGTTTTGTTTTTAAAGCTTTTTCTTACAATAAATCGAATTTTATCAGTTTTTTGTTGTTGTTGTTGTTGTTGATTCTCTCTCCAACTCACTCCAACTCTCTCTCTCTCTCTCTCTCTATCTTTCGCTCTTCTATGCTTAGCTTTCAGTGTTGCCAGTTGCGATAATTTGTTGTTCTTGTTATTGTAATTTAATTTAGCGTAGAAATTCTTTTGAAGAAAAAAAATGTAAATAATCAAAAATTTGATTTTCCGCATCGTTGTTGTTCGCATTCACGATATATATACTATATATGTTTGTATGTATATACACATTATTATAAAATTAAATATTTACAAATATTTGTTGGGGGTTGGCAACAAAATCAAGCAATCAATCAATCAATCAGTAAATTAACTAAAATTATGAAAAAAAAATCCTTAAAAATTATGATATTGTGTGTGGGTTTTTTTTTAAAACTAATTTGTTCCTATTAGTTATTGAAAAAAAATGTATAATTATAATTAGAGAATTATGATTTTAAGTGTAAGTAGAATTTAAAATAGATTTTACATTTATGACAGATCCATATTTGTTTACTTATTTAGGTGTGTGTGTGTGTTTGGGTGTGTGGGTGTGTGTGTGGTGTTGTGTGATATGTTTTGGAAGTGTTTGTTTTTTTTTTTGTTTCTTTTTGTTTTTCAACTTAAAGCTAGAATTTTAAATTAAATTTAACAATAGACGACGACGACGACGAAAAAAAAATTATTTAAAAATAAATATGAAATATTTGTTGTTGTTGTTGTTGTTGTAACGCCCCCTCTGCTCAACTATTGCAAAAATAATAAAGATAGGTAAACTAATTAATTGGCCCATAATGGGTTAAAGGTTTATGCTACGAGTGTTATGGGCGCTTGGGCCGCTGTTAGGGGCGTGGCAACTGCAGTCGTTGGCGTTAGACGAGCGTTGGCGCCCAGCGCCAACTGTTGCTGTTGCTGTTGTTGTTGTTGTTGCTGCTGCTGTTGCTGCTGTTGGATCATCTCCTGATCCAACCAGCGCTGCAGATGCGTGGAGCGCTGATGTTGTTGCAAGAGCTGGTGCTGCTGCAGCTGCTCCTGTTGCTGGTGATGGATTAGGCTGATCTTGTTGTAGACGGCGGCATGCAGATTGAGGCTATAGCTGGCGGCACAGCTGGAGGAGGCGGTGTCGCTGTAGGTGGAGGAGCTGCTCTCATACCCGGAGACTGGGGAGCCTTTGGGACAACAGAAGCCGGTGGGTGAGAGCGCCGGCGCCGAGGGGCTGAGCACGCTTTGTGGTGTGGATGCCTTGCTGGAGCCGCCACTGCTGCTGTTGCTGCTGCCGGGAAAGTGAGGACTCCCGACGGGAAATGGCTGCAATTGTGGTCCGGCACGTTGCGACAGTTGCATAACCACTGGCGATTGAAAGCTAGCGGCACCACCACTCCCAGCACCACCACCACCACCACCTCCATCATTATCTGGATAGCTGTGTGGTGAGAGGCGACAGGTGGGATGATTGCTCCAAATGATGGGCTCCCGTTGTTCGCAGAGTTTGTTTTTCTTGAACTTGCGCTGCTTTTTGCCATTTAACGAGTGGTTGCCCTCGTCCAGTGGCTCGAGAGCGCAGGCCTCATCCTCATCGTCCACATCCGCATCGGCGGCCGTCTCGTCGTCATCATCCTCAATGGCATCGTTCGCATCAACCTCGTCCTCATCGGCATCACCCAACAGATATGGCTTAAATAATTTCACCTGCTTCGAGGGCAGCACTTTGTGCTGTTGTTGTTGTTGTTGTTGCTGGTGGTTGTGATTGTGGTTGTGGTGCTGATGGTGCTCCTCATGCTCCATCACATCCACATCGACATCAACGTCCACATCCTCGCCACTGGCATCCACTTGAATCTCATCCAGGAGCTCGCTTTTGATCGTCGGCAGCGCCTCCAGCTTGCTAATCTTGTCCGGCTGCTCGCCATTGCCGTTGGCGTAGCCAGGCCACAGCTGAGTGGCGTGTGGTGCGGCGGTGGTGCTGCTGCTGCTGACCTTCCGCTTCCGATATGTCAGATCCACAATGGCGCTCGATTTGGCGCGCAGCGGCGCTGGCTCGGCTGCTTCCATCTGCTGCTGCTGCTGCTGTTGTTGTTGTTGTTGTAGTTCGAGGGCGCGGCGCGTGCCACCGAGCGACAGATCGATGGGCGCAGGCATGGCGGTGGTTTCGAGGCGGGCCTGCAGCAACTCGTGCTCGTAGTCCTCATCATGTAGACCGCTGCGCGCACCACTGCCGTTGACACACTCCAGGAGTGGCGGCAATAGCTGCAGCTGCTGCTGTGGTGGCGGTGGTGGTGGTGCTTGCAGCAATGCTGCATGATGATGTGGCAAATAGCCGGCGGCTGCAGCGGCGGCGGCATGATGATAGGCAGCGGCATAGTGCTGGTGGGGGTGTGGATGCGGGTGGTGCGGATGGTGCGGATGCGTTAACGCCGCATGCGGTGGCGGTGGCGGCGGAATGTGGCTACTGGCGCCGCTTAAGGTTGGCACTGGAGTTGGCACTTGGACAGGTGCTAGCGTGGAGCTGTATGGCAACGCATTGGCTGCCACCGTGGCACCGGTGGCGTTTGCAGTGGTGACTGTGGTGGCTGCTGCCACCGATGAGCTGCTGTTGCTGGTAATGGCTGCAACGGCAGCGGCTATTTTCGCGGCATCCAAAACGCTTCTGGGTGAGGCGGTGGTGCTGCCTACACCACTGCTGCCGCCGCCGCCGCAATTATTGTTGTTGTTGCTGCTATTCCCACCATTGCTGAGCGTCGAGGGCAGTGGCGCATGCACCGCCGGCATTGGCACAGGCACGGGCATATGCAGATGTTGCGCCATGTGGTGCCCGAAGCCATTGGTCAGCAAACGATTAACCGCTGCCACATGATGATGATGATGGTGGTGGTGGTGCTGTGCCGCATGATGCGCTGCATGCGGCAGTGCCATATTATGGAACTGATGCTGCTTCATTGCACCACCACCAATGCCACCGCCTGCACCACCAACTGCTGCAGCTGCTGCTGCCGCTGCCGCCGCCGCTGTTGCAGCTCCCCCGGCCGTCGTCTGATGCTGATTGTTGGCCACCGAGGAGCGCAAATTTTGCTCGCATTGCAGCCACTTCTGTATCTGGCGACGATGGATGTTGTATTTGCGAGCAGTGGCTCTCTGATTGCCTTTGCAATCGTTATCGTTCCGGTACGATTCGAGCACCTGCAGCTTGAATTGTGGCGTAAAAATGCGGCGCGAGCCCATTTTTGGACTGCCGCCATTGCCGCCACTGACGACGGCGCTGCTTTCGTTTTGGCTGTTTGCTTCCTTGGCCTTCGATTGCGCCTGTGGTTGTGGTGGTTGCTGTTGTTCTTGCTGTTGTTGTTGTTGCAGTTGTTGTTGTTGTTGTGCGTCGACCAGGCGGCGCTTTTGCTGATTAAAGCCGAGCGCCATAGCGGCGGCGTTGGCGTTGGCGCTGACGTTGGCGTTCGCGTTGGCGCTGCCGCTGTTGCCGCCGCCGTTGATTATCGAACTTTGTTCGTTGTTGGTATCCATTTCAAATAGAATTTCTTATTGTTTTAAAATTGTTTATATAAAATATATATTTATATTAATCTCGATATAAATGTATATGCTCTCTTTTTTGTTTTGTTTTTATTGTATATATTTTGTTGTATTTGATATATATATGTATATATAAAATATATCTTCTGTTTTTGTGTACTTTTTATTAAAAACGTTGTAAGGCTTGCACGTTGTAATTATTGTTATTGTTGCTGTTGCTGTTGCTGCTGCATTTATTATTGTATAAGTTATTGCTGCTCTTGTTGCTGTTGCTGTTGCTACTACTACGTCGGCGTAGTGCGTGCGACGCTTGCGCTTTCATAACTCGCGATCTTGCAGCCCTGGCCAACAAGTGAGCGCCCTCGCTGTTCTGCCCATTAACGTTATTATTATTTGCTTGTTATTGTTGTTGCTGGCTGGCTGGTTGACTGGCGGGCAGGCGTAGGTTTCTTTTTTTTCAGTTTTTTTCTTTCTTCTTCTTCTTGATTTTGTTGTTGTTTGTTTGTTTGTTTTTTTAATATATTAAATCAAAAAACTTTACACAAAATTATAATATTAATAATAATCATAAGAACACACAGAAAACAGTAACAGAAAAAAATTTAAAATAACTCGCGAAAACACAAAAAAATTGTTCTTTTTGCTAGTGGCTGTTGGTGGTGTGGTTGTCGTTGTTGGTGCTGTTGCTGCTACTGCTACTACTGCTGCTACTACGACGGCGCAGTGCGTTCGATTGCTGCGCTTTCATAACTCGCGATCCGCACGGCAAGGAATCCAAAACACAATTGTTCAACGTTCTGCGTTCTAGTTCGAAGATACGTTCTAGACTGGCTGGCAGTTTTGCTTGCTTATGTCGCCTTCGTCGATGTGGTCGTCGTCGTCGTCGTCGTCGTGCGCTCTTCACACACACACACACGAACGCAACGAAACGAAATGAACAAAATCCGAACGATGCGATGAACACAGCACACACACATGCACTTGCAGAGAGTGAGAGAGAGAGAGAGACATGCAGTTGTTCTAATATGCGAGAGTGTGTGAGTGCAAACATGAGTGTGTGTGAGTGCGAACGAGTCAGACACTTGGCGGCCAGACCAGACCAAGCCAACCGTCAGCTTTTGTTGTTGTACCAGCAGCAACAACAATACGAGCACGGTGCTGAGCATTGCAGACAAACTGACGACAATCGTCGGCTAGGTGTCCGCATGTCTACACACATGTGTGCGTGTGTAGTTGAGAGATTCGACTCGTTCTTGTCGCTGCGACAGCGGACGCGACTGCGGCGCTTTTGTGAACGCGAACGCGACAAAACGTATGAAGTGACAGACGAACGGTCGACATGCCTTGCCATACCCCCCATACGGCCCCCGCACACAAACGACCAAGACCAACAACGCACAGTGGGACACATTTATGACATGCATTTACAATTATGATTTTTAAGCATGTACATATGTACGTATGTACATACATATGTATTCAATAGAAAGAAGTTGAATTTCACAAGGTGGGCTTTTATTTTGATTAAATCATGTATGTATGTATGTACATATGTATGTATGTATATCAGTAACTGTAAAACAGGTATGGTCAGGTGATAAAGTGTCTAGGCTTGTTCTTTGTTTTTATTACTCACCTAAAAAGGTGACTAAGCTAGTTGGAAATTGTCTGTATCAGTTAAACACTTCAGGACCAATGGAAATCAATTAATAATAAAATAACATACATATGTAATTGTACTCGTGAATCAGGTGACCATTTTAAAATTTGATTTCTCTTTTGTCTACATAGCTGAATTAGTTATAAGTAGTGAGTTTAGTAAATCCCTAATTTTCCAGAACTAAAATACAGTAAGAATAATTTATGGCATTTATGGTTATTTTTATAACTCAGTCTTTTATAAAAACATTTCCTCATATCTTTGAGAACATTACATTTATCTTTGAGAAACATAACTCAAAGCTAGAAAATGTAATACGTTAAATTAGGTTCAAATAGCAGGGGTGATGATGTTCACCCGCCCACTTAGGCATTAAGGCCCGTTGTGATTTAAGAATTTTGCTAGATCCGAGAGGTCGCTTATGAAAGGTTTCCCTAGAAAATATAATAACATACTGAGACATATGTTGTATACAATATATATTATGTAGTTATACAATATGTAATATACAATGTACATACATATGTAGTACATATTTTAAAAGCGCTAACATCCCTAAAAATTTTAAATTGCACTTTTGAAAATCTCCACATAATTGTTATTTCTAAAGTTCGCTTCGTTTAATAGCAATCCCATTAAAAAATAAGACTATCTTATAGAGATCGGGCTTGGGAAATATTGATTAAAGTCAGGAAGGCAAATTTGTAGTTTTTGTAATGAAGGATATATTATAACAAGATAATTGAAGAAAGGGAAATCGTAATTTTGGAAATTGTAATATTGTGAAATCAATTGTTATTTTCTTCAGGTATGGTTTTTTATTTTACATAAAAAATTAATATGTGTATGTATATTAATACAAGGACTAAATCATTTATTTAAATAGGTAATTTTATTTATTTTAAAAACCAATTCCATTCATGCATAGTTCAACCGCCAATCGTTTGCATGATTTGATTCTAACCCACTGTGCAGGACAGAGACATGGCAGAAACCACGTTCATCGCTGCTTTCTGTTGCTGCTTTCCGAACTGTTGGCAACTTGCGCCACAATTTTCGCTGCTCACTGCTCGCTGCTCCGCCGCCGTATTGTTTCACACCATGACAAAAATGCGCGTTTAACTACAGACACACACAGTCACACTCACACATACACACTCAATACTTCAAGTGGTGCTACAGTCGTCGTCGCTGCCAGACATTCTGGCACTGCGGCCCATGCAACCACAGTCGTAGACCAAGCCCGAGCTCGCAACCGATCGTCAGACCACTCGCCACTCGTCCACACACAGATGGTTCAAATAATAAGTACACTTGTCTTTATGTTCAAATCTATCGAACTAAAGCATCTGTCCACGGGTCTTTCTTTAAATTACTAGGCACGAGATATTAATTGAGAATCCTAAAATCAGATATCACACAAGTTGAAAAGAATTAATGAAACTATTAACAGCACCAGATGCTAACATAAAACTACAAAAATGAGCAAATAATAATAATTTTAATAGCCGTTTTAATTTCTGATTTATTAACTATGCATTATTATGCGAATTTTGTTTAATAAACTTTAATGATGACTAAACAATAAAAATATGTACACATATGTATGTACATATATGCATGTACATACATCTATAAAAATAAGTTAAGAAAGTGTACTTATTATGTTGACCATCTGTGTATACTTGTTGAGTGGTTGATGCAGCAGTAGCAGGCGGGAGGGCGCGTCGTCTCTGCACATGTATGTATGTATATGTATATGTGTGTGTGTGTGTGCGAGTTACGTACACAATTGAAAATCAACTGTTGAATGTGCAATGCACTCCGCTGCCTATGCCGCTGCCTCTGCCGCTAGAGGACGGAGCGACGTCGACAGCGAAGGCGCAACGGCGATGACGATGTGTAGCGAACGTTGCGTTTTTTTAATAGTTTTTATTATTTTTTTATGTTCATTCTCTTTGTTGTTTTTGTAGGTAGCAGTGTGTGTGTCGTGTGTTTGTGACTTTGTATTGGTGTGGGTGCATAACCGGCTTTACTGCGGGCTTTGCGCCGCTGCTTCTAAGCTTCAAGACTTGTGGCCAGATATGCTAAATCATTGGCTTGTATGATTCTATGATGCATATATGTACATACATCTGTATGTATGTATGTATGTACATATGTATATGTATGTGTTTATGTATTAATGTTTTGGACCACGTTTAACTAAACTAACTTCCTAATTGCTGCAAACTGGAGCATAATTGCAAGTGCAGTTGGTGCACCAAAATGTTTCTGACCCTGTGTCTACAGTGGAAAACATTCAAAAGTAACGCCATGCTAGGTTTTATCTTGTTATGGCCAATCGAAATGGCCAGTCGAAAGATTCATAAAACTAAGCCTAATGAGTTGCATGAAGATCATTGTGAATTTTGTGCCAGTATATTGAAAGGTAAATAAATAAAATCTGACGGTTCCACATCGGGATTCTCAAACAATCATATGACTTGCAAAGTCAATTGAGGAACTCTCTCAAACAATTTTCTGTCCTTAGCTGTTAAAGGCTCTGACAAAATGGCGTTCATACAGACAAACAAAAGATACATGGTTGGACGCAAGTAAAAGTAAAAGCCCAATAAAATTAAATAAATAAATAAACTATAAAATGAATATTATTAAAAATAATGTATCTACATTAAAATATTCAAAATCGAAAAAAAGTATATACATAAATGTTTCTCATTTAGGAATCACTGAAATCAAAGTTACAATAAATTAACACCATTATTTATTTTACCATAGTATTTAGTAATTATTAAAATTATTTTTCTAAAACATTCATTTTGATTGAATTTTTTGTATAATACCATTATTATTGCCATAATTTATCCATTACTATTAAATTCATTAATTAATTGAGTATAACATTAAATTATATAATAAATTGAAATTGATTTTCTTAAAGATTAAAAATTTTTCATTCATTTCTTATATAATAGCTTTAATTAAATTTGATTTTGTAATTAAAATTTTTCATTTAATTTACAACAATATTAAACCTTTATTAAAATTCGTCTAGCATTTATTTTAACAATACTAAACATATTAATTATATTAAAAAAATTGTATTATCTTTTAAAGCTTTTTTTTACAATACTACAGCTTTTATATTTATAAATAAAGTTTATGAATTGTATAAATACAATCTAAGTAATTTAATTACATTTATTTGTTTTTAGAATTAACCCTTTTAAAGTACCCGATGCTATAACTATACCAACACTTGATTTTAAGTTTAAAAAAAAAACAAGAGACTCTTTTAAATATTTGTTGCCATGGTTGTGCTAATAGC